GAGGACGAAGAAGGAACCTCTTTAAAAACAGTCAGGTGTGAGTAAAGGTTCCAATTTGCCCGATTAAATTGCCAGCGTGGGTTTGCGAAGAGGTGGCAAATAGGGAAGGGGAAGTAAGAATGATTGGGAAATGATCACTGTCATGTAAGTCCGGGAGAACAGACCAAGTAAAGTCTAATGCGGCGGAGGAAGAGCAAACTGAAGATCGTGCAAGAGAGAGTATGAGTCCGAGGATCAAAATGGGTGTGAGTACCTGTTTTTTAAAAACATGGAGGGGGTGGGTGGCAAGAAAAGCCCTAACTGAATTCCACGGGAATCACATTTGAGCCCCTCCCCAGAGGAAATGGTGGGCATTAAAATCACCAAGTAACAGAATCGGTGGCGGTAAGCGAAAAAAGGGAAGGCAAAATCCGGAATAGTAATGCCCCGAGAAGGAGAGAGATATAAAGAACAGAGCGTATACCACCTATGTAAGTGGATACGGGCTGCTGTGTAATGCAGCGAAGTATGAATAAATAGCTGATGGTAGGAATATCGGTGCGGAGAAGAAGGGCACTTTCATTAAAGGTCCCATCAGGAAAAGGATCTGAAGAATACAATAAATTTTATAGCCTGAGATGTGAGAAATAACAGCAGAATGAATTTTGGTTCCTGTAAGCAAACACCAACGGGGGGCAAACTGGGAGAGTAACATCTGAAGCTCACCCCGATTCCCCCTGAGGCCGCGTATATTCCACTGTAAAAAGCCATGATTGGCAATGATAAAGATACTTGAAATCCGCAGGTAAGGGTTCCTACGGATGGGAAGGGTTAGAAAAAGTCCACATGCGGAGGCAGTGGAAAATGTTCAAGCAGTGAAGGAACGGTGCGTGTGAAGAAAGGAGTTGCGCAGATGGAGCAGAGGAGAGAGAAAGAGCGGAAGGTGGATCAGTGTCCATTGATGGTTTGGTCTCTGCAATATATTCAGAGATTGCTTCAAGTGTTTCGGAATTCAGAGATGTCGTATGGGAGACAATATTGGGAATGGTAGGGGGAGGATGAGTAAAGATTGGAAACTGTATTGGGCTGTACCAAGGTAGGGGGGGGCGAAAGGGTGGAGGGAACTGGAGAAGCGTGGCGGGGGAAACAGAAGAGACAGGAACCTGGGAGGTGGCAGAAGAGGAAGAAACTTGGGAGGGAACAGGGGAGGAAGGTACATTACGGGAGGAGGGTGAACCTCTGCACTTGTAACTGAGCCAGTGAGAGGGGAAGAACTAGGGACCAGAGACAGGGAGGGTAAAATGAGGAGGTGGAAGATGGGTGAGAGGTGTTACCGGACCTTTTTTTGACTTTTTTAGGGAAATAGAGGGACGATTGGGAAGAGGTGTCGTACGAGGTCTCGTCGATACTGAGGCTTGTAAGAGAGAACTCGAAGAAGCGAGATTAGACTGAGGCGTTGAAGTAGGGGCATCTGAGCCGAGGAGAGCAAAAGGATTAGAACAGGATGATTATGGGAGAGGTAACCACAGAGGTGGGTGTAGGGAAGATGGGATACCAGAAGTTGGGGGGGACGTTTTGAAACACGGGAATAAGAAAACGTGGGAGTCTCCCTTGGAGGCGGAGATGAGAAAACTGCCATGGCATAAGGGAGACCTTCTGTCTCTTTGAGGTAACGGATTTCCGCTCGTTTAAATAGACCTGACAACGGCGAGAGTACGAAGGGTGAGCCTCATGACAGTTAAGGCAAGAGGGAGATCGATTGCAAGACGTATTAGAATGGTCATCGGCACCACAGACTGGGCATCGGCGATGATCTGCAATATTTCGCTGGATGGCCAAATCGCCAGCAATTTTAACCCGTTGTGGTGTGGGATCACCTTTCGAACTTGTAACCGATTCCTGCTATATAAACGGAGGATGGGAGTTCTCGGCTGTCAAAAGTTAAACGAGCCACATTGCTAGGGTATCGTCTCCGCCCACGGGCAGGAAGAACGTAAGTTTCTACCTTGAGGATTGGAGATCTTGGAGTTCCAGCTGTTCTAGAATGTCGGTGCCACATGTCTGGAAATTTTGTTGAACTATGGTATGGGGCAGAATAACGGTACCACTACAAGAATTGAGGGAATGATGGGTTTTTTAAGGGTGACAGGAAAAAGTATATGGGAAAGAAAGAGAGAGCTCACGGCCTGGGTAGCATTCTTCGGTAATGATGCGCGTACCCCTCTTAAGAGCATGAAAAAAAATATCTTTACCAACATGGCGTAGGAGTGCCTTGCCAAATACTATGGTCAGAAAGATAGGCAGTAGAGGAAGTTGGTCGTTTAAAATGAAGAATTTAGTCCACTGTTCAGTCTGAAACTGAGCGTGGAAAGGTAGTGAAGGACGGTGTCGATCGTTTCTGAGAAGAACGAGAAGGTGAAGGTGGAGAAGTATCATCAGCAGGTAATTGTCGTTGACGTTTAGGCGTGGGACCAGAGTTGGTCCGACGTGGAACGGGTCGGCGATTTTAAAATTGCCGCACCCTAGAGGGAGAGGCCGAAGCATAGTCAGAGGAGAGCGAAGGTCTGATAAAATCGAAGGAGTCAGTCGAGGCCTCAGTACCTGAAGCGGGTGAGGAAACAGCACCGGCAATAGGTACAGAGGCATGAGGAATGTCTGAAGAGTGGTCCAAAGACGGGCGGGGTCAGAACGGGGTGCGGTATCAAGAAGGGGCCCGGGGGTACCAGGTTCATGGACTAGGGCTGCCATGGTTAGGTTACTTCTTTCTTTTTGTTTTTAAGAAAAAAAAAGAAAGAAGAAAAGAAAATAAAAATAAAAAAAAGAAAAAAAAAGGGGGGACCGGGGAGGGATAGTTCCTAGGAGGAATGAAAGGGCCAGAAATCTCCCTCCGCGCCCAAGAGGACTCGACACCGCTAGTAGCGCAGATGCAGCATGGAACCCGTGCCATACCCTACCCTTCATGCCAGTAAACCAGCAATCTGGGATAGCAACCTCACATCTGCCAAGCTACCTCGGTGGACAAAAGAGAGGGCGGCCGGATATCCGCCACAAAGCATACCTCCTTCAGCCACCACCCCCGGAATCCGAAAGGTGGCTTCCAGAGATACACCCGTCGCCCAAAAGACACCCAAAGCTACTCCGGGATACCGGAGAGGGATCGGGACATCCCTAGGCAATCCAGATTCCACGGCAAACTACGCCACCGCCAAGAAACCTCAACGGAATGGGATGGACCCCGGTGTCCTTTCCCCTACCTAGGAACTAGCGCGCCTGTGGGAGAAATCACGAAGGCTAAAAAGAGGAAGGGCAAAAGGGAGGGGTGAGGAGGAGGAGGAGGAATGGAAAAAGGGGAGGATGGGGAGGATGGGATAGGGGAGGGGAGAATGGGGGGTAATTAGGTTCGGTCTGAGGAAGAAGACCGACAGGGCTAATTCCTCAGACCAAGAGCCTCTTCACCACGCCAAGGAGCCCCCCTTGAAGAGGACTGTGCCAGAAACACAGTTTAGTTAAAATATCCAGTAATAATGCTAGGATTGGCATGTGAGCAACAACCATTATAATTCAATAGCCAACAAAATACGTACATTTAATAAGTTTTTCTTTATCATTTCACTGTATTTTGATGCATGTTAAGAGGCAAAAATTGGGTGTTGACAAAAGATACCATGGGCCTCAGCCTCCACCCTGGTACTGGAAGCATGGAAGTTCTAGGAAGGACCAGCAGATGAAGATATTGACAATAGTTCAATGAACTGGATCAGTTTTCTGAGAAAACAAAATCTGACAATGCACTGTTCCATTTCTGTTCTTGTAATATTGTGCTCCCTGACAATTTTCAGACTCGGAACTATTGCCTCTTTGTTGAGGTTTGGCTTGACTGGGTTTACTTTGAAGTTCTTGGACAACTGTACTTTTGGACTTTGCTCTTCATATCAGTATCATCAATCTAGGTCTTTCTACTGTAGCTGCATAATACAGTTTTAGAAAGACACCTGCTATACATGAAAGTATGTAATTGCATTTGTAATTCCTGAGTGAAATTCATCCTACAATATATGGAGATCAATGTGCTAGTTGCATGTGCTGTGACTGAACACAGAGCCAGACATCTTTGCTTCATGGATGTGGTAAAGTTGAAATGCAGCATAATGAAAACCATCTCAAGATGCTTAACATTCCTGTAGTGGGTGTAAATGTGTACAAATACACAGCTATGTATGCACATAGGTGAACAAATTAAAAGCAGCAGCATACTTTAATAGTGTCAAGAATATGTTACACACAATATGCTGATACAGATATAAATGAAGAATACCTTGAGATTCGGGTAGCACAGTAATATTTAAACCAGTCATTTATAAAAACAATTATCCTTTTGAATTTAAACATTACTGAAATAGAAACACAGCAAGCATATTCATTTTACTCAGTCAAATTTTATTTCCAAAAATGACAGAGAGCTTATTCAGCTCAGGGATTACATCTCTCTGTCCATTCTGTGGAAAGCCCCTTGATTTGTGAGGTATTTCACGCAGACTAAATGGCACTTACAAAATACCTAATACTAATACAAGTTTTTTTTTTTATGTTAATCTCCAGGGTTTATTACCTGGAGCTCAGCAATGAGAATGGCTACTCTCACCGCTGGGCAACGGCGACCAGTAGTCAGATAAGGATTATAACATGTACTTTATAATTTTGTCACAAATAAAAAGGTAGAATTTTAATTTTGTGTAACAAATAATGATTACAAGTAATTTTAGTTTTGTGACAAAATTAAAAAAAAATTAAAAAATTAATAGTAGACCTAATATCTAATTATTCAAATCATTCACAACCAGGCAAAAATCAACTGAGCTAATATCACTACACCCAGACTATGCAACTCTCTTTATTAATTTAATAAAAACTCCAAACACATAGTTCCTTATCTTGAAGATTAATAATACAAGTCAAAACTCCAAGGAATAATCAGCAGTCAACTAAATTTTTAAACAACTACACAGGTAATTACATCTTACCTCGTGCCAAGAGTGCTCCGTGTATTGATGCTAGACCTATAAGTGCCAGGGGTGCAGAGGTTAGTGAACTAATAACTGTACAAGGAATCAAATGTAAACTAGGATAAAGGAAGTGTGTATACCAGGCATCTGTTTGACTAAAATATCTGAGCTGAATGTGAACTAATAACTTGAGGGAATAACATGCATTACAGTGGCATGCCAACTAGTGCATGTTAGGGGACATCACTGGTGAAGCAGAAATTGCTGCAGATTTTCTTTCTTTTTTGGGTCACCCTGCCTCGGTGGGAGACGACCGACTTGTTGAGAAAAAAAAAAATTGTTATTGAAATTAATATTCCTTAAACCTGTGACAGCAATACATGTTATGTCCTCAATGTATTTTTTACAAACTGCAAGTGCAATGAATCAACAGTCAGCAATTAATCAAAAAACTGAATATAATACTCAAGAAAAAGTGCCATAATTAGAAAAAAAAAAACATTGTAATGAAGGTATATATGCCTTCCTCTTTCTCGAAGATAGAGAAACTTAGAAAAAAAAAAAAGATGAAGCAGATACAGACATAAAAGCATCAAGAGTTATGAAGGTCTCTATCATATTAACAGTTAATGAAAAGAATACCTTCAGATGTGTGAAATTATTTTTTTAAAGTACAAGCCACTGGTGTGGTGATGTGGATGCACAAATCGATCAGTTAAGTACTGTCTGATCTGGCCACTAATTGGATAGGTTAGTACATAGACAAAGCCTCATCCTAAACTAGAGGGAACTTGAATCAAGAGAATCTACCCGTGCCATGGGGTACTATATCCTATTATAAATATAACACTGAGAAATAGCGAGACAAAAAATGGTATATAATACAATTGCGATGCTGTACAATATTGTAATAGGTTTTTAACTTTCAAAAATTTGCTTTAAAACAAGGAGACATTAGAAAACCAGTAAGTTCAGGGCATGCATGATTTGGCTTTAAGAATTTCTAATATTATGACTATTCATTCGCTGAAGGTAGCATGCAGCTCATATGCCAGTCTGTAATGCAGACTTTCTAGCATCTGGCCTGAAGTAGACGGCAGCCCACATGAGTAGTCACAAGTTCATGATTTTATTTTGCCAAAATATAACAACACTGTTAGTTTACATTCTCACTTATCCAAAGCAAGCTTCAAAAGGGCAAGCTAGTGATAAGAAATTATGTAATACAAAAACTTGGAATATCAATGCAGTAATTATATTTCTATAATGTATGTTAATTTTATGATATCAAAAAGCAGGTACACCAATAAAAATTTTCCCCTGAACATATCTTAATTTACACAGTACAATGAATGTTTATAGAAAAAGTATTTGTTTGATGAAAATTTGTTTAGCATAAGTAAATTCTTTTAGAACCCATTACCTTCACTAAGCAGGGCAAACCCATACTTTAACAGAAGCACTTCATACCAGAAGTATGTGCCATCAAATAAGATGACTTGGGGGTCAAACTATCTGATTATAATACTGTAAAAGCAAACCTTCCATACCATACTTGCAGTTCAATATAACTCTGAATTGTGCTAAAATTCTACTGAAATAAGATTTTTTTTGGGGGGGCCCGATATCTTTATGAAGTGGCATCCTAGGAACTGAGAAAACACTCAAAAAATAATAAAGCCATAATATAAGTGAATTACTGTGTGGGAGATATAAAACAACAAACCCAACAACATATATGTACAATAATGTTCATGAGACTCACAAAATTGTAATAACTCGATTGCAAACAAACCATACCAGGTTTGGAGCTTCAAGACTCTGATCATGGGTTCCATCCCTGTCCGTGGTATGCTTTTTTTTTTTTTATGTTCATGAGAAAGATGAATTGTGAAATTTGTGCTTTGACTTAAGGTTTCAGCATTAAAGTATAAAAAAAATTAATATATAATAAAGCCAAGTCAATGAGTGTAGGGTTAAAGATCAGCAGTGAGAAGAGAGAGGAAAAAAGAGAAATATCAGAAAATATATTTGCAAGAATGGCGAATAAAACAAGTTTCCAAAAATAATACATAAATAAACTGAATTTTAGTCACCATTTACAAACAACTGCAGGTCAAGGTTAAGTATAAGCAGAGGCAATGTGCACCCAGTGATTTATCGAGTTGCTACACGATAATTAAAATTTATTATTCAGAAATAAATTTCACGGGCCTTACTTTTACTCAACAATTCACATTTCAGTAAAATATAACAGCTTGTCAATTAGTCTGGGTTACATCCCTGAAAAATTAGTGTCTAATCTAAAATAGTGTGAACTGATGTGAATGAAAAACATAGAAAAAATTGTTTCATTCCACACACCTCCAAATTTGACGAGCAACTTTTTAATACAAAAATCTTTTATATCAAAAAAATACTGTAATATTACCCTACATTCAGTTAGTCATTACCTGAAGCATCTGAAGAGTGTAGGGAAGGTTTATGTGGGCCTACTGGGCTGAATTGAATGTAGCAAGGTTCATCATGAAAAACACTGTATATGTATTAGGCAGCATCAGCTGCCTTCTTTGTGTTGGGAGAGCTTATGCCATATTGAGCTGTGTCATAATGAGCTGTGGAGAGAGCTGCCAACTTGGCTTTGGCTCCTGGCAATATTGTGGGATAGCTGACTGTGCACCATTCACACATTCTTACAACTTTTGGCAGCTGGAGTCCCTATGGTACATACGGTACTTTAAACCTACGCTGAGATGACTCAAAACTGGAATTATTAATGGCCTTTCAGTACAGCAGAAGAAAACAAAAGCAGTTAAAAAGGTGATTTGTTTATACAAATGACAAATATTTTCCACTTCATCTTTGTTTAGCTTAGCCTGTAAGCTTACCTTTTTCACATTAATTTAATATACCTTTATCCATATTTAGAGCTTTAATATTTGCTTACATTTTCTAGGGTTACAGCTCCAATGAATACCAAGGACTTGTTCTATGGTAAAGTTATAGCCTCACTAACATAGAAAAAATGGAATTTGTAATTTATCATTCACAGCTAACCATTTTTAAGTACAGTACATATACAGTAGAAATGGTTAATAAATAATATCATAATCACACAATTCCAACCTACAACCAAAATACATAGAAGATAATCGAATAATGATAATAAGCATAAATACTTCTACTTAAAACAAAAGTATTTTACCAAAAAACTGAGCAATGTATGACCCCCTTACATAGATGACAATCAGGTAATTATAATAAACAAATACTATTACTTAAAACCAAAGTGAAAGCCAACATAGGAAAGTACTGCAACTTCATGAAAATCATAAAAGTAAAAAACAAACTTGGGTATCAAATGTAAAAACAAATTATTAATGAAATCTGACAAAAGTTGTGGCACTAAAGATGAGCTGTACTTCATGGATCTTCCTTGTGCAAGAATGTAAGAGGTGTACATTACCACACCTTTACGGTATCAGCATCTACAGCAATATTGGAAAATACAAATTAAAATATTTACTGTACATTTACAGACCATTTATAACATACTTAACACACAAATGAGCAAATTTAGCTAACATGATAACATAAACATCAAGACACGAACGACTGACTAGAAACATACCACAGTTGTCTGATACCGCCCAGTCTGCAGCAAAAATTTATTACAAAGTTAGAATCATTTTTGAGGAGAGATAATATGTATACAAATTGGTAGTATCAACATTATTTGACTATAGTTATGTATTAAGCTTGATACAAAAATAATACAACCAAAGTAACACCAGATATGAATTTACAACAGTAAACAAATCTAAATTTTCCCTAATAATGGTATACAAAAGTCAAAATGAAACTTCTAACATACATTTCTGTACACACAAAAATGTTCTGTGCCCTCGGTGGCAGAGTACTGTAATTGTAAAAATAACACGGGAATATGGAATATCGTATTCATAATAAAAATCAAATATTTCAACATCAATAAAGTGGATCTACTCCAGTAAAAACTAAGACCTTTAATGCAGAAAGCCTGACGTGTGTGATACATGAGAGTAAGAGGAAATTTTCTTTATCTTCTTAAAAAAAAAAAAAACATTTATTATTAACATTTGGGTAAAACAATCACCATCATCAGGATCTGTGACAGAGAATCACAATTACTGTGGTGTACAAAAATACAAGAAAAATGTGGGCAACACTTATAAATTTTAAAATAGGTTACCATATAAGTAACTAGAAAGCTAGAAACATACCTTAAGCAAGGCTGAGGAGGAACTAACCAAAATACACAGTGGACAAACTGAGGTCAAGCAATAAAGGTAAAGCCTATACAAGGTAGCCATAACTATTTTAATGTAAACATCGGTAGTTGGATTGTTTACATTGAAAGTTACATATTCTCTGCATAGGTTTTCCTTTACTGTTGACCTCGATTTATCCACCATATATCTCAGTCAGGACCTGCTCACCCTTGCTTGAGGTAGCGCATTCTTTTGATATGTCTTTAGTTTTATAGTTTCTTGTATTTTAACCTTTTTAGTATTTATAATTATTTACAAAATTTACCTTTTTGTACAAGACCTAATTCTTGGTCACAGAACTTGGTGTCTTTCACCAAAACACTAGTAATAAATGTTTTTTTTAGAGGAAACCTTAATTTTTCTTATTACCCACACATATCCTGACCTACATTTCTATTTTTGTTACATAAAAACTATAAATTTATTAACTATTTAAGCCAAAAATTAAAATATATGACTCCTTAGAAATAGTGCTAAAAGAAAAAAGTGACAGATATATTATGTCTCTTTGAATCAGTGAAGACCTTACAATATTTAGCAAATAAGGGATATATAAGGAAGAAATTCAGTGACTAGAGAAATATGAAGAAGAAACCCAGTAACAAGAGAAATGCTGAGGCACAACTGGAGGATTAACAGAGTCCCTATAAAACCAGCCTGAGAACTTTAATCTTAAAGCAATGCATGGAAAGTTGAATGCAGAATCAGCTGTGTTAATGCTTCAGGGTTCATCACCTTCATGGTCCAAACTCATGCCAGGCCTCCGAAATGAGGAAATATTACAGTAGTACAAACTATTCAGAAACATGCAGAAAAGTGAAGGCAAGTTTCTACCAGATGTAATTTAGAAACGTGCAAGATTTACTGGTAATATTATGTGTACATGAGACAAAAGATCAACAGCCCTGCCAGAGTGCAAAACTAAATATGTTTCCATAAGAAAACTGAACTGCAGAAGCAAGTTTTCAGAATGAGTTGGACTGTTGTCATATACACCGCAGAATTTTTTAAGCGAAGCTCGTATAAGATACAGTGTAGCATGAACTCTGTAGTTTGATATAAATAAAGTACAATTTACCTATTTTGAGTCATGTTCACAAGGTTGTTCACTGTAAATATGGATGGAGTTATGAGATGAGAAGGGGACTACAGTATTAAAAAGAGATGTGTGAATCTAAAACACTGGTAGGAAACAATCATTTGTTAAGATAGAAGAGATAGACAATTTGAAGAACATAAATGGTGTTAGAAGGAGTGATGATGGAATGAATAAAGAATGACAATGTCATGCAAGGATGTGAAGTGTAAAACTCTGACCTGAAAGACGAATATATTACTCAAATAGACTTTTTGAATGAATGTAAGGATTGTGGGTTGGTTTCATCCTAGGGGGAAGTTATGTCCAATGCGGAAATTTTGCCCTATGCCTATTGCTACTACTAAGTCTATCATTATTACTACTACTCACACTGTTCACTTCCCTCTCCCTGTCCTCTCTTGTGGTCTCAAACTTTTTTTCACTTAGCACTGACTTGACAATGGTCCAGGAAGGACAGAAATGTCATCACAGTTTTCCTTTCGCAAGTGTAAGTTATTTGTGAATCGTTCCAGCCAGGGTATTATAACATTTTATTCTTTAATGACATTGAAAAGAACAAAATGTAAATAATTTGTGATAAATGCTGTGAGGTACTTTTCCATCTTCTATAAAATGACTGATGCTACAGTGAGGCACTATAAATTTTCTGATTCCAATACTCTCCAGGACTATCTCCAAAGTGGAAACTATGGTAATGATGATGAGAGAACAGCATGCATGTGAATAACCAACTGATGGATAGGGTTAAAATAGCAGTGTGAAATAACAGGGCAGTGTAGAGAATGTTAACCCTTAAACTGTCCAAACAAATTTACATTCACATGCATAGTGCTCTAAAAGTAGATCTATGTTTTTTTTACATATTTTCAAATATAACAAAAAAAGTAGATCAAAGTTTTTTTGAAACGTTTTCAAATGTAAAAAAAAGAAAAGATCTACATTTTTTACATACTTTCAAATGTTGAAAAAACATAGATCTACATTTGGACAGTTTAAGGGTTAAAAGAAATTATCAGTTACTAATGTGTGGAGTGTAACTCGTGAAAAAATAAATAATGCATATTAGCATGAAAAAAAGATGAATTGTGACCTATGAAAGGTATATAACCAAGACATAAGACAAGTACAGTACATGGACATCCATAGGAGGAATCTTGGAAGAGTACAGTAAAAATCTAACACAGGGTGAGTATGTAGCAGAACTGACAAAAACTTCCTAATGAGTTTTAAGTTAAGGTTAAGTTAGGTCTTACAGTGGTTAACATTCGTAATAATATTGGTAGAATTACCGACAATGTCAGATAAAAGAACACTCGCAACTAATGCAACATTTTATTGTGGCAACATTTCTCCAGGAGCTCCTGGAGAGTGAAACGTTGCCACAATAAAATGTTGGATTAGCTGCACATATGTCCTTTTACCTTATTAATATCTGTCTCTTTTTAAAAGAAAGGCAAGTGTTAATCACTACCGTTCACAGCATCTTCATCTCTTGAGGCCTTGGTCTTACCAAGACTTGCAGTGTACATTAAATATCAAGAGAAGTGTGTGTACTGTAGCATCACAAATTGGTATACTCCAGTGTAAGTCCAAAAATTACATTACAATGAATCTGGGTTACATTGGCACCTATTTGCTGTAACAGGTTAACAGTAATTTACATATATTACAACAAAAATTAATTAGACCAATTATAAAGGTGCTACAAAAAGTAAATAAAACTTTAAATCAGACTGACTAAAGGCAGTTTCATGGAAGTGCCAATAAAAATACACCTCCTTACAAAATTATTATGCAATAAAACAATGAAAAATAAAATGTTGATGTGAAGTTTAAGGTGAAGAATGCTGGTTCTAATATAAATGTATAACCAGGATGATAATGTAGGATTAGTAGGTACAAAGGCAATTATCATTGTACTTACTTTGATCCTTTGGCCATCGTTTGTGTGAGGGGGCATACAAGCAGATGAGTGCGAAGGTATAAATATTCCACATGCCATACACGCCCGTGAAGAATGCACTTGTGTACTCCAATTTGATGTTCTCATCCCAGCTCCACTGACCCTCCGAGACCTAGTACAGACAAAATAATGCTCTATAGTAAAATAATATTAAATTTGTGTTTATGCAGTATTATAACACCTTGTAGTTTTCTTCTTTATTTTCTTTAATTATTAATCCTTCAGTTGTTGCTGGTGGGGATCTTGCCACCCCTCTCTCTGGTAAGATTTTGTTTTTGAAAAAAAGAAAAAATCATATGGACCTTGAAAGCTAGCCATTCAAATGAATGAAATTTGGGTTAGATCACAAAATCTGATTATATTATAGCCCCTAACAATGAAGTTGGCAGCTTTCCATTCTTCTAGTGAAGCTATTATGTAAGCCAATCTTTTAGAAAAACAAACCTTGACATAAACTAACACACTGATATACAAGTATGCATGTAGTAACCTCTAAAAATGTTGCTCATTATAAGCAGATTAATATTTGAGAGATTAGCAACTACACTAATTTGACGTAGCAAATCTCATCCTTTTCACCTACAGCGGAACATTATTGTCCTTGAATAGCTTAATGTGATAATTTACTTCTGACGTTTTTTTAATTTTTTATATTTTAAATTTTTTGTATGGATACAATTTTTTTTATTAATATTACTCTAAAAAAGAAAAAAAAAGATGCAACATTAACAGTGCAAAAATTTGTCTAGCAAAACACACTTGAGAATCCAACATATTAGTATTTGGCACCTTCTTGAGAGATCAGCATGGCCTAGGCCCTCAGTCTGTCACAGGATTCACTGTACAGTAAGCCATCAATACAATGAACTAATATTGGAGAGGCTCTGGGTATCAACCAATAAATCAGAATAATGTTAAAAATAACAAGAAAAAGCACTAAAGTACAGGTATACTGGAATAAACTTTAACAATAAATGAGTTAAAAGTACAATTTACCTAACAGATTTGGTTTGCTATTTCAGAAGAGTCATATTAACCCTTTGAGGGTCGACAGGCCCTCTCCGAGACTCGTTCTCAGGGTCGGCCAAATTTAAAAAAAAAAAAAAAAATTCTTATGAAAAGATAGAGAATCTTTTCCCGATCATAATGACACCAAAAATATGAAATTTGATGGAAAACTTATGGAATTATGCTCTCGCAAAGTTAGCTGTCTCGGCGATGTTTACGGATCGGCGATTTTGCCCACTTTGAGCCCCATTTTCGGCCAGTTCCACTGTACTAGTCGACAAAAAACATGAATATTTCGCTAGAACTCCATTTTTTCTATTGAATGAGTGCAAGAAACCACCCATTTACCAATTTCAACTATCCAGTACAGTGGTCAGAATTTAGCAATTTTGCCAATTTCACACAAATTTCAAAAGATGCCAATTTCTGAATAGGGTCCAGAACAAACAAGAAATACATTCCTGGCACTAAAATGACATTTCCTCTGTTCATTAGTCACGTCTCAAGGCCCCTCTTACATTCTTTTGCTTTCCACTTGAATTTTTATTCTCACAAAAAATAGAAGATTTACTGTTATGCAGACTACTGCATTAGTGTAAAAAATGGTATGAATCATACTGGTGCACTTGCAAAAGAATATTAGACTCACCAGTTGACATGTATTGGACGCTTGGTATGATTTCTTTACTTTTGAACTTTGGTAAAAATCGAACATTTCTGCTACTTTGAACTCAATTTCAAGGTACTTTTCATTGTAAAACCAGTCAAAATCATTTCAATTTCTATGATATGCCTTCCATTCTATAAAATGAGACCAAGAAAACTAGAATACAACAATAAATACCATACGAAAATACAGTGCAAAGTCGCTGTTTTATTCCAAAAAAATGGTCAGTTTTTTTTTTCTCATTATGCACTGTGTGCTGCAGGATTTTTTTTATACCATGCACACTGACCACATAGACCCATTCTTTCATATGGAGGCCTACCAGCTTTCTCCCACTAGATTTGAGGGCGCTAGAATTTAGGCGTACTAGTACGTCAAAAACCCTGGGTCGTAAGCCGTACTAGTACGTCCGAAACCCTCAAAGGGTTAATGGCTGTTATACCAAGGGTTTACTGTACAGTAGTTTCAGTTAAAATAAACTTCTGCATGCTACTTGAAATCTTGACCATACCTGTCCTAAGATAAAGCCAATCACAGTCATGGCAGCACACAGCAGAGTAGCCAACATGAGCACCTTGAAGCGGTAGATGATACCTTCATAATGCAGACGTCGAGCAGAAGACATGACAGATAGTGACTGACGTTTGCTACTAATATTAATAAATACCTGGAAACAAGACCCACAAAAATTTGTAGTCGAATGTAATTTCTTCAGATGAATGTTATATATCCATAACACACAAATACTATATACATGAAAAATTATAACATCCTAAAGTAGAAAAAGTTAGTTTTCAAAACAATGTGTACTGCAAAAATATTTGTATATTTAATGATATTTTCATAGGTGGTGATTTTTTTTCCTATAATATTACTCTTGAGAGCTTACAAAAAAATTTACCTTCCAAATCATGTACGAGAGGAAGCAGAAGTAAAGACCAGCACAAATACCAGCCAGAATAATGAATGCCAGTGCTAGGTTGGTTCCAACTTCTGTCACCCAGATGGAATAGAAGGGATTGCGGAGCTGTACTCCTCGTTCACACATGTCAAAGATGAAAAGGCATAGGCACCCTCCAAACACAGCACTGAGATGGCGCCAGTAAACACGAATTCTATTTCGCTCAATATCATCCTGTATAAGATCATGATTAGTGACAGAAACAGTAAGGCGTGAGTATTGGTTTAGGACTGGGGTGCTCAATCTTCGTCATATATACAAAGCTACATGATTATACATGGTAAGTAATCACAAATAAAACTCAGGACCACAAATATAAAAAAAAAAGCAATGAAAAAATAACAGGACTAGATGTGGTACCTTTTTTACCAGTACCTTTGTATGCTTACACAAAGTCATACTGATATAACAAGTCTCTGCATCCTTGTTCATATGTTATTGTTTAATGTAACAAGCAAATGAATAGATGGTAAAAAGACATATACAGCGAAAGAAGACCTTTATTAGTATGACATTTCGCTTACATGAAACTTTATCAAGTACAGAGAATATCAAAACTAGAGACAAGCATTCCACTCCCCCCCCCCTTCCCCAAACAATCAAACATGCACACACATGGTGTCAGGAGCTGTAACTCGACTCCTGCAACCACAGATAGGTGAATACGTAGTATGCTGATAAGTGTAGTCAGGTAATGAAACCTCATACTAATACATGCCACCCTTTGCTGCATGTTGGCTATGCCATACTTCAATTATACGAATACGTAAACATGTAAGTAAACGGAAAAGGCTATCACTTGCAAAATAACAACTTCTGAGAGCATGAATACTTGGGGTACTGGAAATAATTATATTCAGCAATGTGCTATACACCAAAATTAACAGGCAAAATAACAAACATCAAAAGCAATCATAACTTACCGCAATCTGCATGATTCATCACCAATCAGCATGAAAGAAAAAGTAAAATATGCAATGATGCTGGTTAGGAAAGATTAATAAATTTACTTAATACATATTTTTTAAATGTACATTGCATTATTAGCACACAATATTGGGGGACATGCAATACTGGCTATCTCTACTGTATTATGAATGTAACTAAACTTTATAACTGAATGTTAGACAGGAGTGAATGGAGACAGTGGTTTTTAATGGATGTGCTGTTTTATACAGGGATTCCGGGAAACCTGCTAGTCATGGAAAGAGTAGTGCCTGCCCTATGAAAGAGGGGTGGGGATATTACAGTCAGAGGGTAAACTGACTGTGATGGTAGCACACTTCTGGAAAGATGGCAACTGAATGAATGATGGTGAATGTTTTTTCTTTATTGGGTCATCCTGCCTGGGTGGGAGATGGCCACTGAGTTAATAACTTCTTAAATATTACTTCTGGTAATGTCATTTATATAAAGGCTATGGTTTAACCAATATTGCAAGGGGGTATTTTCTGTTCATTTTTGACATAAGCTTATGTTACAGACCAATTTTGCCGACTCTCATTTAACCCTTAAACTGTCCAAACATAGATCTACGTTGACATGCGTAGCGCTCCGAACGTATATTTATGTTTACACAGTTGTGCAGCACTTTTGGAATGCATAAGGCATATTCCTGTCAGTTCCATACTCTGTTTGCTGGTAGGGAAGCTGGTGGTGGAACAACAGGTTCTGATTTCATTGTTTACTAATGTTAATTATGCAGTGTCACCCATGATGCATTATGTAGACCCATCTCGTCTTAGTTTTTTTCAGAAGCATAAAGAGACTATAGGAGACCCAGTCAGTTGTGCTGTAGTCAAATATGTTGACAGGTGGTGTATTTGAAGCCATGAAAAATTGGGCATACTAGTGCATCAGACAGTCATAATTTGCACACTAGTACACTGGACACAGTTAAAAGGGTAAAGGAGGTTTTGTGGGCGAGGGGCTTGGACTTCCAGCAAGCGTGCGTGAGCGTCTTAGATAGGAGTGAATGAAGACGAATGGTATTTGGGACCCAACGAGCTGTTGGAGTGTGAGCAGGGTAATATTTAGTGAAGGGATTCAGGGAAACCGGTTATTTTTATATAGCCAGACTTGAGTCCTGGAAATGGGAAGTACAATGCCTGAACTTTAAAGGAGGGGTTTGGGATATTGGCAGTTTGGAGGGATATGTTGTGTATCTTTATACGTATATGCTTCTAAACTGTTGTCTTCTGAGCACCTCTGCAAAAACAGTGATTATGTGTGAGTGAGGTGAAGGCATTGAATGATGAAAGTATGTATTTTCGTTTTGGGGATTTTCTTTCTTTTTGGGCTACCCTGCCTCGGTGGGAGACGGCTGACTTGTTAAAAAAAAAAAAATTAACCCTTAAACTGTCCAAACGTAGATCTGTTTGCCTGCGTAGCACTCCAACCTTGATTTTCTCCATAAGAATGTAAAAAAAAAGTAGATCTACGTTCGGAGCGCTACACGAACGAACGTAGATCTACGTTTGGACAGTTTAAGGGTTAAATTTCCAATGGTTGTAGTACACACTACTTTATCAATTTATTTAATTTTACTACTATTTGTAAAAGAAAGATTTCCCCGTATCCTTTCAGCTCCATTTTTTTTTCTAAATTATATCTGTGGCCTCTTAACCCTGTGGAGGTTACTAAAAAAGTTTATCTATTTTTTCATTTGCTTTTATAATTTTATATACTGTTATCATATCTCTTCTTCCTACCAGTCATCATAGGCATCTTGTAGTGTCTTCGGTCTTTCATTATAACTTTTTTTTTTTAGTAGCTCTGGGATCCATTTTGTAAATTCGTTGGACTTTTTCTCTCCGATGAACATATTTTTTTTAGGTGTGTATACCACACAGCAGCTGCTTATTTCAACTCTAGCCTAATGATGAATATGCTACAACATGCTTTTCCGGTTATTTTCATATAGTCAGACATGAGTCCTGGAAATGGGAAGTACAATGACTGCACTTTAAAGGAGGGGTTTGGGATATTGGCAGTTTGGAGGGATATGTTGTGTATCTTTATACGTATATGCTTCTAAACTGTTGTATTCTGAGCACCTCTGCAAAAACAGTGATAATGTGTGAGTGTGGTGAAAGTGTTGAATGATTATGAAAGTATTTTCTTTTTGGGGATTTTCTTTCTTTTTTGGGTCACCCTGCCTCGGTGGGAGACGGCCGACTTGTTGGGGAAAAAAAAAAAAAATGCTTTTCCAGCATCTCTCCACCCATATATGTGATAGCTGCTCACCTGACTGCTCACCACTACTCTCTGATAACCATATAATTATTATATTTTCCCCAAAGCCATCATATACACAGCCAATAAAATTTAACGTTACTTAATAATGTAACGTAACATGTCTCAACCTTTCTTAACTCAGGTAAGTCTAATTTAATTCTGAACAAAATGTTAATAAGAGTTATATTTCAAACACTAAATACCACACAGTATTTTTTTCTTTATTGAGTAAAATGTTCAGTAATGATTAGCTAAATATCTAGGTTAATGTTGCCTAGTATGTCATATTAAGACATACAGATAAAACAATGTACCACCTAACTTCCAACCATTAAAATGAAAACTATAGCCAATAACACAAACCATTAATCATGCAACAATTGTCCATTTAAATGTGGTGAAATTAATTCACTTTTATTGCTAATTCTTAGTGGCATTTTATCCTCTATAAATAAAATAATGTACAAACCAGTAGATGTTCTCCAGTAAAGATCAACCAGAAGGAGAGAAGCGAAGCATAGAAGATACCTTGCCGAATATCACTCACAACGGTCATCCATGGACAATCAAATACTAATGTCAGGTATTCCAGGGGACCTAAAAGAAAAAAATAATACTGTACATGAAAAATGAAAAATATACTGTATATTACATTACATACATATGTATGAATGCGCATGCATGCGTGTGTGTGTGTGTGTGTGTGTGTGTGTGTGTGTGTGTGTGTGTGTGTGTGTGTGTGTGTGTGTGTGTGTAATAAAGCCACATGGGGATAGAAATTTTTAGCTCAAGATCATTCACATTCTTGTGCATTGTCAAGAGCTATGTAATGTTGCAAAACTAGCAACAGATAGGAGGGGAAAATTCTCTTTGACGTAAGGCAGAATTGTGTCAGCACCGGCCCATGTCAAAGCAATGTGCAATCACCAAGAGTATAATTCAAAAGGCTGAGAAGGGGTTGTTGTGGTGGGTTAACATGTAGAAAAGGTGGAGAGATAGGATGAACAGAGCATATAAATATGGAGGGGAATGGAATGTAGGAGGGGTAGGGGTTGCCACCTGAACTGTTGGAGGGAGAGGGTAAAAGAGGCTAAGTTTTATTTGGGGTTTAATGAAAGTGCTGTTGGAGCATGAGCAAGTCAATGTTTACGAAGGGATTCAGGGAAAACCGGTTATTTGAGTCCAGAACGTGGGATGGGCAGTGCCTGCACTCTGAAAGAGGGATGGGGGATGTTGCAGTTGGAGGGTAATCCAAGTTGTGATGTCAACACCCTTCTGCAAAGACAGTGAATGAATGAATGATAGCAAATATATTTTCTTTGGGTCACCCAAAAGAAGAAAACGCATTCATTATCATTCATTTAAATTCTGTCTTGCCAGAAGTAAACTGACATCACAATTGAATTACCCTCTGACTGGACTGCAACATCTTCACCCCTTTGAGTATAGGCACTGTCTTAGAAGTGCTTTCCTTTTTCTAAGGCCATAAGAAAACATACTTTATATAATAACCATCAATGTTACTTAAGAAAGGCCCGAATATACTACCAGGGTGATTAAGTTCTTACTTGTTTCCCTAATTTGCTTATCATCTGAACCCCTAAAACTATAGTGTACTAATTATATCAACTATCTTTATTGTCCTTGGTTACCCACAGTTCAAAATTAAAATGATGTCCTGTAGTACAGTTGCACTAATTTTACTACACAAGGCTTTCTTGTAACTGGAAAAATATTTATCTAGATGGAATCTGGTGATCTTGTTGAAATATCATGTTATTATTCTATAATGCATAAATTTAGGCACACTTTTTTTGCAGGAACCCTTTCGGACTAATGCAAAATCCTACAAGTGTAAAAAAAAAAAAAAATGGTATTCACAATTAAGTAAAGTGAGTGCAGCCCCCAGCATCATCAGCATGTATTCCAGAAGTGCTGGCGGACGAGAGAGTAGAGAGATGCGACGCCAAAACCAGATCATGATGGCCACAATGGTTGGGAAGAATATTGTTTTAAGTGAGACCCACACTTTTGTGAATCCTCCATTCTGATGGATGAACTGTGAAGAGATAGAAAAAAGTTAACTGTTAAAATTCCAGCAAATAAATGGTTAGAAGAGGTTCATGGTTTTTAAAATAAAAAAAATTCATAACACAGAATACCAAACTTAATATTTAAGGGAGCAAGATGTTGTGCTTAAAACTTTCAAAAGTTCCAGTGAGCCATAATCTAGGATTTAAATGCTGAAGGATTTATAATACTAAAGTTACCCAATCTCATTATAAATCATGAGTAAAACAATCTTAAAGAGACTCTTAAGAAATGCAGAGGTAACTTGGGAAACTGCTTTAAAGGATTTACTTTAGCTAAATGAACCAATGAAGGTATAGACTTCTTTGTTCATATAAATTAGTCTGCAAAATGGTGTAAGCCACTATTACTGTATACAAATATATAGCAAAAATGAAAAACTAAAGGAAATATAAATGATGGTCTACCTTATGCTGATGGTTTTTAAAATATATTCAATTTGTATGGACATGCTGTACTAAGGGATATGTATACATTAAGATTATACTCTGAGGGACCAACTGTACAAGATGTAATGTGATGAACAGGGTGTAAAAGAAATGTTTTATATATAGATTAATTACCTGACATGGGCAAACAATTCATTTATTCACCTTTTTCATATAATTTTAATAGGCACCTATTTTTTTCAGTAAATATATACATAAAAAAGATAACAGGTAACTCACTGCCACCCACATATCCACTAACAGTCCAAGATCTTCATTGATATTGCTCTCTTGTGGTTCCTCTGCTGTGTTTATAGGTAATCGAACATTTAGAAGATAGAAATCATGGTGCAAAGACCCAAGTTCAAAAAGTGGCACAGAAGAACAGTTATACATGTATTCTGCCTTTTTGTGCAATGGATCTATTGTACAGTCAAGGCGTCTCCTCTTCTGTAGATGATGCATACTCTGTCCACTTATCTTCTGGGTCTTCCAAATTACGATAGCCCAAGCGTGCCTCAAGCGTCATTATGGCTTGGGGATCTGTGAGAGTGAAATTCAGTTAACGTAACTTTTTGCACAAAATAATTAAAACAAAATTGTTAAACTGAGCATATGATCTAGAAGAAAAACAATACTCACCAAACTGAGCCTCCTCATCATAATAGATGTCCACGTGCATCATGGCTATCAAGTTCTGCTGCCAACGTGAATAATCCAGAATATACTTGCTTTTGGGAGATGGTGCCTAAGAGTTTTATGAAATATTAGTTAATAAAACTGAATGAACACATGTATAAAATTTAAACATTTTGAGCTTAACAAAAAAAAAAAATTACTGTACTTTAACAAGACTCATTTTACACATACCTGAAATGTGAAGATCATGTTGTTGGCATTGATGTGGAGATCCTCAATAACTGGGTCCTGGAGATCAATAATGCTTTGGCACTTTCCTTTGCCACGGGTCCAATACCACTTGTCCTTCCTATAGTTCTTGTCAATGCACTTGGTTCCCAAGATTGACATAACTGATGATGGTGCAGGGGCTGTGAAAACACAAAGGGACATGATGAATATGACATGTGCAACACTTGCAGAAACATTTTGCCTGCACAACAGGCTTCTTCAGTTGAATTCAAGTGAATATAATTCTGGAGACAAATAAGTAGTTTTGAGGAGCTATTATAACACTTTTAACTGCAGTAGTAGTTTTGATTTGCAATAGTGGATTCAAGTTGGACAAATTTAGATTTAGAGAATATAGAGAAGTATTGGTTTAGCAACAGAGTTGTAGATGAGTGAAACAAACTACTAGATAGCATCTCAAGGTGGTAAGTGGAATAATAATAATGACGATGAAGTAGCAGCAGTGGTGGTGGTGGGTAGTAGCAGCAGTAGAAATAGTAGTAGTGGTGGTGGGTAGTAGTAGTTAGTTTAACATCTTTATTATGCACCCCATACCCATCCTGTGGGCAGTAGTCAAAAGATTACAGAGGTATATAATGGGTCCAGGGACTGGACCCCAAAGTTTTGATAGCTGAACAAGTTACAAAGGTAATGAGCTTTTACATGACATATCCAGTTGCAATTATGACCAAGTTACAAAGTTAATGAATCATCTACACGTCTATACATGGTCACAATTATGAACAAATTACAAAGTAAGTAAGTAAGTAAGTAAGTAAGTAAGTAAGTTTATTCAGGTATACACAAATACAGTTACATAGAATTATCATACATAGCAGCATATGTGTAGAGAACCTAGGATAACCCAAAAAAGTCAGACAGAGTGACTTATTTCCAATCACACGTCCACACTCAGTCACAACTCTAATGAGGTATTAGTGTAAATATTAATTGGGTCACACATACACACAAACACACACACACACCACACAACACACACACAGGACAGAAGGGTCAGGGGAGACATGATAACGACATAAAAGATACTGTGGGGAATAGACAAGGTGGACAGAGATAGGATGTTCCAGAGAGGGGACACAGACACAAGGGGCCACAACTGGAACCTGATGACTCAGACGAGTCACAGGGATGTTAGGAAGTATTACTTCAGTCATAGAGTCGTCAGGAAGTGGAATAGCCTAGCAAGTGAAGTAGTGGAGGCAGGAACCATACATAGTTTTAAGAAGAGGTATGACAAAGCTCAGGAAGCAGAGAGGGAGAGGACCTTGTAGCGATCAGTGAAGAGGCAGGGCCAAGAGCTGAGTCTCGACCCCTGCAACCACAATTAGGTGAGTACACACACACACACACACACACACACAGGCACACGCAAGCAGAGTGGTGGAGCACCTAGAAAGGAATGAACTTATCAACGACAGCCAGCACGGTTTCAGGGATGGGAAATCCTGCGTCACAGACCTACTGGAGTTCTATGACAGGGTGACGGCAGTAAGACAAGAGAGAGAGAGAGAGAGAGAGAGGGGTGGGTTGATTGCATTTTCTTGGACTGTAAGAGGGCGTTTGACACAGTTCCACACAAGAGATCAGTGCAAAAGCTGGAGGACCAGGCAGAGATAACAGAGAAGGCACTACAGTGGCTCAGGGAATACCTGTCAGGAAGACAACAGCGAGTCATGGCACGTGGTGAGGTAGAGTGGGCGCCTGTAACGAGCAGGGTGCCACAGGGAACAGTCCTAAGACCGGTGCTATTTCTGGTCAAACTCATCATTCCATTCCATCAAATTAAACCAAGAAAACGACAATACAACCATAAATACTATACAAAAATGCACCTCAAAGTCGGCATTTTAATCCAAAAACACGGTCCCAGTTTCTTTTTTTCTCGCTGTGCACCGCTTCCTGCAGGATTTCTTTCATATAGTGAACATGTGAACGACATGACAGAAGGAATATACTCTGAAGTGTCCCTGTTTGCAGATGATGTGAAGAATTCAATCAGACGAGGACCAGGCAGAACTACAGAGGGATCTGGACAGGCTACAGGTCTGGTCCAGTAACTAACTCCTGGAGTTCAACCCCACCAAGTGCAAAGTCATGAAGACTGGGGAAGGGCAAAGAAGACTACAGACAGAGTACAGTCTAAGGGGTCAGAGCCTACAAACCTCACTCAAGGAAAAGAATCTTGGGGTGAGTATAACACTGGGCACATCTCCTGAGGTGCACATTAACCAAATAACTGCTGCAGCATACGGGCGCCTGGCAAACTTAAGACCAGCATTCTCATATCTTAATAAGGAGTCATTCAGGACCCTGTACACTGTGTACATTAGGCCCATATTGGAGTATGCAGCACCAGTTTGGAACCCTTACCTAGCCAAGCATGTAAGGAAACTAGAGAAAGTGCATAGGTTTGCAACAAGACTAGTCACGGAGCTAAGGGGTATGTTCTACAAGAAGAGGTTAAGGGAAATCGACCTGACAACACTGGAAGACAGGAGAGATAGGAGGGGGATATGACAACAACATATAAAATACTGAGAGAAATCGACAAGGTGGACAGAGACAAGATGTTCCAGAGATGGGACACAGCAACAAGGGGTCACAGTTGGAAGTTGAAGACTCAAATGAACTACAGGGATGTTAAGATGTATTTCTTCAGTCACAGAGTTATCAGGAAGTGGAATAGTCTGGGAAGTGATGTAATGGAGGCAGGATCCATACATAGCTTTAAGAAGAGGTATGATAAAGCTCATGGAGTGGGAAGTGACCGAGTAGCGGCCAGTGAAGAGGCGGGGCCAGGAGCTGTGACTCGACCTCTGCAACCATGCAACCACAACTGAGTACACGAGCACACACGCGCACACACGCGCACACACGCACACACACGCACACACACACACACACACACACACACACACACACACACACACACACACACACACACACACACACACACACACACACGAGCACACACACGAGCGAGCACACACACGAGCGAGCACACACACGAGCGAGCACACACACGAACGAGCACACACACGAACGAGCACACACACGAGCGAGCACACACACGAGCGAGCACACACACGAGCGAGCACACACACACAAGGCATGGACGAGATTGGAGAAAGGGATTACATAGTAGGTACACTTCAGTCTGGGGAACATAAGGTAGTCAATGCAGTGATGTATAAACCACCACAGAACTGCAGGAGGCCAAGAGAGGAATATGGAGAGAGCAACCGAGCAATGGTGGACACACTGGCTGAGGTGGCAAGAAGAGCTCACACAAGCAGAGCAAAGTTACTGGTTATGGGAGATTTCAACCACAGGGAGATCGACTGGGGAAACCTGGAGCCACATGGGGGTTCCGAAACATGAAGAGCCAAGATGATGGATGTGGTACTGGAAAACCTCATGCATCAACATGTTAAGGACACTACCAGAGGGAGAAGGGAGGATGAACAAGCAAGACTGGACCTCGTGTTCACCCTGAGCAGTTCAGACATTGAGGACATCACATATGAGAGACCCCTTGGAGCTAGTGATTATGTGGTTCTGTGCTTTGAATACATGGTAAAGCTACAAGTGTAGGGTAACAGGAGTTATGTGGGAAAAGCCAAACAATAAAAGGGGGACTACACAGGTATGAGGAACTTCCTGCAGGAGGTTCAGTGGGTCGGAGAATTGGTAGGAAAGTCAGTAAACGAAATGACGGAATACGTAACAACAAAATGCAAGGAGGCAGAGGAAAGGTTTGTTCCCAAGAGCAACAGAAATAATGGGAAGACCAGAACGAGCCCCTGGTTTACCCGAAGGTGTAGGGAGGCAAAAACTAAGTGCACTAGAGAATGAAAAAAGTACAGAAGGCAAAGAACCCAGGAAAATAAGGAGATTAGTCGAAGAGCCAGACACGAGTGTGCACAGATTAGGAGGGAGGCCCAGCGACAGTACGAAAACAATATAGCATCGAAAGTCAAGTCTGACCCGAAACTGCTGTATAGCCATATTAGGAGGAAGACAACAGTCAAAGACCAGGCGATCAGGCTGAGGAAAGAAGGTGGGGAACTCACAAGAAACGATCAAGAGGTATGTGAGGAGCTCAACACGAGATTCAACGAAGTATTTACAGTAGAGATAGGAAGGGCTTTGGGAAGACAGCATAGAGGGGAACACCAACAGGGAATATACCAACAAGTGTTGGATGAGATACACATAACTGAGAAGAAGGTGCAGAAGCTGCTAAGTGACCTTGATACCTCAAAGGCGATTGGACCAGACATCTCCCAGTGGGTCCTTAGAGAAGGAGCAGAGATGCTGTGTGTACCACTAATCACAGTCAACACCCCTTTAAACTGGGCAACTACAGGAGGCATGGAAGACGGCAAATGTAGTCCCCATTTTTAAGGAAGGAGACAGAAACGAAGCCCTAAACTACAGACCAGTGTCACTGACGTGTATAGTATGCAAAGTCATGGAGAAGATTATCAGGAGGAGAGTGGTGGAGCACCTGGAACGGAACAAGATTACAAACGACAACCAGCACGGATTCATGGAAGGCAAATCCTGTGTCACAAACCTTCTGGAGTTTTATGACAAAGTAACAGAAGCAAGACACGAGAGGAGGGGTGGGTTGATTGCATTTTCCTGGACTGCAGGAAGGCCTTCGACAGTTCCTCACAACAAATTAGTGCAGAAGCTGGAGGATCAGGCGCATATAACAGGAAGGGCACTGCAATGGATCAGAGAATACCTGACAGGGAGGCAACAACGAGTCATGGTACGTGATGAGGTATCGCAGTGGGCGCCTGTGACGAGTGGGGTCCCACAGGGGTCAGTCCTAGGACCAGTGCTATTTTTGGTATATGTGAATGACATGATGAAAGGGATAGACTCAGAAGTGTCCCTGTTCGTAGATGATGTGAAGTTAATGAGGAGAATTAAATCAGATGAGGATCAGGCAGGACTACGAAGAGACCTGGACAGACTGAACACGTGGTCCAGCAACTGGCTTCTCGAATTCAACCCCGCCAACTGCAAAGTCATGAAGATTGGGGAAGGGCAAAGAAGACTACAGACAGAGAATAGGCTAGGTGGCCAAAGACTGCAAACCTCACTC